CAGGGCCCTGGGTATTGTAAGCGTGGTCTACAGCTTCGATGACTTTGCAGATCAATGTGTAGCAAGAGGCACGCTTGTCAAAGTATTCTCGACGCGCGTCATTCGGATCGACGTTCTGTTCGCTCTTGTCTCGTACCCAAGACAGAGCTTTGTTACCACGGTCCCACTCTTGCGCAACCTTCAGAGCAAGTCTAATGGCACCTAAATATCATATTAGTAGTGTAGAAGAGTGGAGTGTCAGTCAAACTTACCCGCATAGAACTCGAGCTGAATGTACTGATTGACTGTAGCAGCCAGGTTTTCGTAACTCAGACTCTTCGCCACTTGCTCGAACAATCTCAGACTGTCGTTGAGCAGGATGCGCCCACGTTCGGCATTCGCACCAGAATCGGCGGCCTTCTTCAGACTCTCCTGTGCCTTGAAGATGACGACGTCGTCTGAGCTACAGAAGCTGCCACACTTTCTCCGCAGAGCTTCGGCAACAGATTCAACGTTAGAGCCCTTGGCGATGTTACGGTTCACTATAGCCTTGACCAACTCCCTTGCAAGCTCTTTGCCCTCTTTGACAGAGAAAAGGCCTTGGAAGGTGAGTTGACGCACTCTCCCCTGTAACTGAGGATCCGGCAGAAGAACCAAGATGTCTTCTACGCGCTCCTCGAAGAGTACCAGAACGAAAGATATGCCCTCAACAATGTTGTTGATCATTTGCAACAAGCTAGTAAGCGCTCTGTTCTCGCCCTGGAGCTCAACCTCTTCTTGTCGCGACGATGCGCGTCCAAGCGCCTCTGGACCGGCCAGACCTTCAATGAAGGATCTGTTTGACTCAAGGAACTCCTGAAGTTGAGCCAACGAGCGTTGTACTTCCTGCAACTTGGTGATGGGATGTGTCGATGTGAGAACAGGCCCGGTGGGGGTAACAGCCTCCGTGATGATTGGCGTGTTCCAGATTGAACGGATAATGCGCGACACGTACATGGCGATACCGTCGTGCCTTGGTGAAGCGCGGACATTCTCCACACTTAAGCCTTCGACGGTTGCGCTCTCTGTCAAATGTGCTTTGCCACCAAATTCGATAAACACCCTACGAGCGAAGTCAATGACCTCGGGATCAGTGACCTTTGCGATCCGCGAATCAGGTCCCACGTCCGAGCCTTGACCGCACGCAACCGCCAGAGCGGTGGCAGAAGTCTCAGCCAGGCCGTACTGCTTCGCCAGCTTGCGGATGTCACCTTCAGCACCCTCGTGACCTCCATTCTTCACAATGGAGGCGAAGATATCCACGAGCCTTCGTCGTCGTACTGTTTCGATACCGGCGGATGTGATGATGGCGTATTCACTTAGGGGTTTGTCGAATTGGGTCGAGAGCTCATTGCCAAATCCGAGGGGTTCATTCCTCGCTGAGAAGGGCTCCGACACCAGACCGATGTCTTGCACTCTGCCCATGAGTTCTGTGAACACACCAGTTTCCGTGTACCGCGGGGGCTCTGAGCTCTCGCGCTGGCCCAGCAATCCGGAGTGTGGTGCCGAGACGAACATGTGGTGGTTCTGATCGTTTGGCGCTAGGAGGACGAAAGAGAAGAACGCGCCGGGCGCGTAACGGGTTGCGACAGTTGTCTCCCTGAGGTATCTCGACTCGAATCCAACCGCTGTACCACCCTGGTATGGCTGTACCTGAGTCGAATTGCTCTGCTGCGAGGGCTGACCGTCGTTGGGCGGGAAGCGGATGTGACGTAGCTGCATGCTGTTAGGAGCGCTTGTGCTGTTCGAGTTCCACTGTCCTCCAGACGTTGTGCTCAAATACAGCCTACAGCCAGAGGATGTGATGGCCATCAGAGACAAGTTGTCCGCCTCTGTGCTTGAGATGGGGGTCAGGCCGATAATCTGCATCTTGTCCAGGACACCAGTGGGCCGCACAATGTGTCCGCACATTGTCTCGATTTGTGTTCGCGTCCGTGTGAGGGAGCTCTCCAAGACGTTGGGCGCGCGCATATAGTAGACCTTGATGGTGCCGTTGGTAGAAAGCGTGTATAGGAGGTTCCGGGTGTCGTCAATCACCATCTGCTGAATGCCAGCCTGTCGCGTGGGTCCGTAGAATGGTAGCGTGGGTAGGCCGATAGAGGTTGTGACGTGGTTCGTCTTGCTGCACTTGCTGGAGAACCACTTGTCCTCCTGCTGGTAGTTGAGCTCGTATACGTCCTCGGTCTGGCCGTCGCCGAAGAAGATGCGCCCCGTTGTTGACGAGCCGGCTATCGCAGTCACGTTGATCTTCCTGACCGAGGTCGATAGTCCCGTCCGATACATTGTGATGCCATGAACGCCCTCGGGTCCTCGCTGGCACTCGACCGCTATCAGGAAGATGTCGGATACGGTTGCGACTACGAGGAGGTATTCGATGGTGCCAACAAAGACACCGGGACGCGGCTTGACGAGCTTGACGCATGTGATGTTGCTGGGTTGCTCTTCAAAACCGACGAGTTCGGGGTTCGGATGTGTGTAGTCCCAGAGGTAGACCTGGTTGTCGACGACGACCCAGGCGTGGTTGATTTCGGCGAACAGGCCCATGCTCGTCGACATCTGCGTGTGGTCCACCTGCTCAAAGACGGCTTCTGGGAGTTTGTAGGACCGCAGCTTCTGGAAAGGCGCCCAGGCTGGGCTGTTGGGGATCTCATACTCGCCAGAGATGCCCTCTACACGACCTTGTTAGCATCTCACCCAGCTTCTGCCGCTATACCTGACTACTCACGTCCAATGTACGCCTCTAGCGCGGGAAACCTGTTGTCCCGATCCAGCATGCTGTTTATGGTCCGCGATGCGCGATCGATAGGGCTCTCGGCGGGCGGTGCAGGCAGCGCTTGCTGTTGCTGCGGCTGTGGTTGCGACATAGAGCCAGTTCGTGTGAAGCCTGGCCGGTTGGGCGCGGGCGTGTTGACGAAGGCGCCGGGGGTGGGGCGTTGCGGCGTCGCGGGCGCCATCTGGAAGGCCATGATGGATTGCGTGTAGAGTCGAAGGGATGCGCTGGTCGTAGCCCGGGTGAGAGCGAGCTTCAGATGGAGGCTGGGGGAACGCGCCGGTGAGATGGCGTGCACATGAGCTGCGCGCGGATGCGTCGATGAAATAAAATTAAGAAAGGCGCGCCGAGAGAAAGATCAAAAAGGTGCTCTGGCGCAATTGCGACGCTGAGGCTCAGGTACAAGCTGCAAAAGTGACGGCGGTCCACAACAAAAGAGATGCTTGGCGCGCAGGGATGCTAGCTGTTCGCGTCTGAGCGCGTTGGTAGTCCAAACTTTTGTGCTTTCAACTTTCCATGTTTGACTGACGACGGTTCGTTGCTCAACACATTCGCAGTCCAGCACTTCAAATATCTTTTCCGTGGTCGCTCCTTCTAGTTGCAATCGCACCTGCCTCATACGATTTCTACACTACAACGCAACAACACTCATCACCCACCATGTCATTATTCCGCACAGCAATGCTGCGGAGGCAGCTCTTCACTCCTGCCCGCTCTCTATGCGTCCGCTACTCGTCTACTTCTGCATCGGAAAACGTTGTTCTCCCCCGCCTGCAATCCGACCTCAAAACGGCCATGCGCGCAAAGAACAAGCCTGCACTCAACACAATCCGTGCCCTGCAAGCCGAGATCATCAACGCATCAAAGACTGCCAAGCCAATCGAAACCGATGGAGCCCTCTACTCTCTCGTTCAAAAGCAGATCAAAGCCTCCTCGGCCTCAATTGAAGAGTTCCGAAATGCGAAGAGGGAGGACTTGGTCGAGAAAGAGCAGGCGCACTTGGATGTGCTGAAAGGCTATGCGCAGGAGATCCCGCTAGTGGAGAACAGCGAGGTGGACGCGTTAGTCAAGAGCGTGATCGATGGACTAGAGGAGGGCAAGAGGAGTTTTGGCAGCGTCATGGGTAAAGTCATGGGTGGTCTCAAGGGAAGGCCGTTTGATCTTGAGTATGTAACCAAAAAGATTCAAGAAGCTGTTGGAGCCAAATAAGCAACACGATGCGCTGAGTGGGATTGGACGAATTGTAGCATAAATGTACATTTATCATGTAGACTACGGACTCCTCTCCAAACGAGGTAACGAAAGAGACGGCCAGATTACGACACCGAAGAGTATCCGTCATCGTCGATTATTGCTTTTCCGTGGGGTTAGCAGATCCATCATCATGGTACACACGTTCTTTGCGGGGTATCGCTACCATTGGTCTGTAAGCCCCCAGAACGTGGCAGCGGTGACAACCCAACATCGAAAAGTTTCGCCGAAAGCGTTGGGAACTTCTGTTCCCTTTGAAGCCCAAGCCGCAGCGTCGCAACGCAGTGAGCACCCGTGGCTGAGGCTGCGCTAGGCGGTGAACTGCGCCGCGGTCCGCTTCCAAGCTCGTGCCCTGACGTCACCGCTTGTCAAGACTTCGTTCTGCGGACATGCATCCCATCCAATACGGCCGACGACCAGGAACTCACGGTAAGGATAGCCTGGCGTTCACAAAGGCCCTTTGGGCAACAAGACCAAGTATTTCCTCTCCCGATCATGGCGAAGAAGATGTCGAGATCTCACATGACAGTGGAAAATGCCCAACATCAGCCCGAGTCCACATTGATTCACATGAAACTGAACCATGGGGAACTCCGCGACAAATGAGAAACCATGTAACACCAGGGGTGCGTCCCTCCAGTCATGGCGCCGGTTAGCGCCCAGTCCAGATGCAGCCCTGGCATGATGCGCGAGCGCCGATGACGAAGCCCGTCGCGAATCCTGCATCTAAAGTTGGTCGCACCCACCCACCACCAATTCTCCGGCAGGCTTTGGATCCAAGACACTTATATTCTCGTGTGTCCGCTTGTTGCGCCGCCGTCAGTCTGTCGCATTCCCGTTGCCGTGCTTCCTAGCGCACACCTTATTCTCTTGTGACATCTTCCGACACATAACCGGCAGCCCCGCATCATACCTACTCCTACATCACCACCCATCGACGAGCCGCACCTGACTATCCAACATGTCGGCGTACCGCTCCTCAACGGGCAATCTGGATCGCTTTGACGAGCCGCCTCGTGGCGGTCCTCAGCGATGGGATCGCGACAGGTTTGAGAGTATGCGAAGGGGGCCTCCTCCTCCGCCACCACCGGGCGGAAGTGTGGCTGGCGGTAGCAGCCGTGGTGGTCGCGACGATTACGATCACTACCGCTTCCAAGAGCACGATCGTTTCCCCGGAGGCCATCGTGACATCGATTTCCATGAAGACCGCGCACGCCGAGGCCCCGCTGTCATGGAGAGAGAACGCTACCACGAAGAAGATCGTTTCGACCGCCCTCATCGCCGCGCTCCCTCCGATATGTTCCACGAGCCGACTCCCTCCGAGATTGCCAACCAAGCACTTGCCCCCTACCGCCGCAGGTCCGTCATCGACAAGGACATCAATATCGATATCGACATCAATGAGCGCCGGCCAGCCCCTCGCCCGCCCAGGCCGTCACGGCCGCAGTTCATGCGCCGTCAATCATCTCTCGACACTTTTGACCGCAAACCCCTGCCACGCTATGGCGACGTAGAGAGGTACGAGAGGTACGAAGACCACGAGTGGCGTCCACCAGCCAATGTTCCCATTCCACTTCCTATCCGCGAGCGTCGCCGGTCACCACCTCGTCGTTTCCACGAGGAGGATGACTTTGAAGAGATCCGATACGACGACCGTGGCGGAAGGGGCCGGGAACGAGAAGACTACCGCGAAGTTGAAGTCCACCGCGAGAAGAGCCGAGTCCGAAGAAGCAAGAGCGTAGCAGCCAAGTCAACACGCAGCTCTTCAATCTCCAGCTTTGAGGAAATCCAGCCATCCCGAGCGACCTGGGGTAAGAAGGGCAAAACGAGACTCCCCAAGCGCCTGGTAAAGAAGCAAGCCGTTATCGACCTGGGTTACCCATACGAGGAAGAGGTATGCCATCCGCACGCACTACTAGAATTCCACTAATTTCAACAGGACGACTTTATTGTCGTTACCCGAGCGCTCGAGAAAGAGCACATTGACGAGGTCATCAAGATCAGCGAGAACTACAAAGAGGGTAGGTATCCGCCAATATTCCCCCAACCTTTTTCTAACCCTGAGCAGAGAAAATCACCTACGTCTATGAGGAGAAGGTGGAGGACGCCCCACCGCCACCACCCTCCATTGCACCGCCAGCATCAGTCATCGCACCTCCTCCCCCACCCCCTCAAGAATTTCAACCTCCGCCGCCCTCCGTCGTCCACGCACCTCCTCCACCCCCACAATCAGTATACCAACAACCCCCACCCCAAGTAATATACGCCCCATCCCACCACGCGCCCACCGTCTACGCCCCCGCCGCGCGCGCCC